TGTCAACAATAATTCTTAGGCCACGAACAGAAGCAAAAAAACCCAAACTGGAAGTGCTCATTAAAGAGTATAATAAAAGAGTATCCATTTGATGACTGCAAATTTATCCGTGTCAGATGTACTAACTTTTTGCAGTTAGTACCCATTTCTTCTCAACAGCAATTTTTAATGGATTTCTTCCCCTCATTACCAAGTCTTTTGACTAAATGATCTCAAATTAGACAAAACAAGAAAAAAAATTAGTTCTAACAGTTTTCACTGGCTAAAAACCTTTTTAACTGAGTTTTAAGCTAGAAACTAAAAAAGTATCAAACTTCTTTCTGCAACTCCCTGAGTCCAGGTAATTACAGGTTGTATACTTAAAAAGTAATTTTCCAGACAAATGACGCATAATCAGACCAAACAACTTTAAAATGCCCATAATGCTTTTCCCTCGCGGGCCAATTTTGTATAAATCTTCAGATAACCAACTACTGAACTGTTTCTGTTGAAACACAACGATAAGTCTTCGACAAAATTTTCTTTTCTCTTCTACTAGATTACAGAATATTTAATTTCAAAGCATTTGGTTCCAACAATTACGAGCAAGTTTAATGCTGTATCACAGAAAATGACAGAGATATCATGTACACAGTTTAAGACTCTACTGCACTCTGAAAACCAAATGCCATATATTTTAGAATCTAAAAAATCAACTACTGCACCGCCCTCGCTCCTTTGCAATTCTTCATATTCAGCAATTCCTACCATGTCTTCTAAAAAGTTTAAAAACCAGGCAGCAAAATCATGACTTCCAAAGTGTGATGTTTTTCATAGTTTCAGAAGACAAAATATCAATACCAAAAGATAGTTTAAAAAATACCCACCCCTCAAATGACAATAAGAGGTATGTTGCTTAATAATCCAAGTCCTAAAACAAATTCGGAAACGACCATAATTAACTTAACTTGACAATAAAAGCTATCGAACAAAGGAAAGATGACTTCTGTGCAGGAAAAGATAACCACTGCTCATTTATATTACGAGCTGGAGAAGTTCGGACGCCCAAAGCGTGGCAAAAGACCACAACACGTGTACAAAAAATCAGAATCTGTAGACAATACCCATCCTTCCATGCAGCTAATAAATTCGGTCAAAAAACCCAAACGCAATGCATATGATTGTAGCAAAGCAAAATACAAAGGTCAAAACGAGAACCGAAAACAACAAGTGTTTCATTTTGAACTAACTTTTTTTACGCCTTCCAACCTCATTAATCAAACTCCCCCTTGAAAACTCATTAAATTTCATTCTCAGCTCCTCAAGAATACTGTTGACACTAACAAGTCGTCATAATTCTTAAAAAACAATAATAACTGGTCACCTTTGTAACAGTTATGCCAAAGTTTTTCGGCAATAATTTATAAATTACTCCCAACATGTTCGTTCACCTCCTAAAAGCACTTTAAGCTCTGTGAAGTCTTTAAAGTCACCATTTTTTTTTCACTTGGGATTTCCTAATGTTTCGGTGACGACCTTAAAAACCAAGTGACTGCTTTGAAAAGCGACACCTTTCTCCTCCACCCCCTTAATAAGGTTAGATAAGTTATTGCTTCAATCCAAGAACTGTTTACTCTTTGTATTTCTTTTAAAAATTACGACAAATTTATTTGGAATTATTCTGTAAATTTTCAGAAGTGATATGATTATAGTAGTAAACAAGGAAAACGAGTGTACGACCATCAGAAGTAATGAAACAAAAACATTGAGGAAATAAATTTTGATGTAACAACAAAATACAAGAAAAAACCAATAATCATGTAAAACTTGCCACTAAACTCCGGAAAGCTATATCAAATTACCTGTTTGGTACTGAAGCCGCAAACATAACAATAAAAATAAAAAAGCATTGACGAGGTTCTACCTCAAAAGTAACATCTTAGTCCCTAAAATTATGTTAAAGTCTTCAAAAAACTAAAATTTAAAACAGTAATATGTCCTCGGTGATGAAGTATAAAAATAAAACAAAAAAGTTAAAAGTCCTTAGGAGTACCTGACACATACACCCATCGAATCTTAATGTTAGACTTCTCTTTACGATTATAATATGCCCTGATTCAATGCAGAAAAACGAAACCCCACCGGCTAAAGAAGAAGAGAAAATTGAACGTCCAAAGTTTTGGAACAGATAAATAGTGTAAAGCTTTAAGGAAATTACTTTTCAACGCTCTTCGAAGCCAACCAGAAAAATCCGCACTAACGAATCTCCCCACAATTTCTGAGAGAACTAACACTTATCAACTACTGAAGATGAGGGTTATAAGGAACTCAAACACCAGTAAATTTACAAACGAATTCAACCCTGGAGAAAAACCTCCCTCACTCGGCAATGACGAGCAGTCGAAAGCCAACAGAAAAAAGGCTAAATTATAAATAAATTACATTAATATCGGCGTCGGTCGCGGTCGCTCCGATAGTCCCGTTCCCGATCACCGTTTCTGTAATCCCGGCTATCAACCCTATCCCGGCTGCTACGATAGTCATCATACCTGGATTGAAAAATTCCATTAAAAAAAGAAATTAATCAATAAACGGCAATACAAGCCTGCGAAGTTCTACTAAAAACAATTACCTTCGGTCCTTCACTTCACGTCCACGATCACGGTCACGGTCGCGACTTCTGCTACGATGTCGCGAACTATTTCTTTCCCTATCTCTGTCACGATCTCTACCCTCTCTCTCCCTGTCCCGGTCATGAGAATAAGACCTACTAGTTGATGACGAACGGCGATCCCTGTCCTCGGGCGCACGTTCTAGCGCAGCAGCCTCTAAAGCCGCCTTTGACTCTCGTGTTCTACGAGTATCCCCTTTTCCACCACCTGAACTACTTAATCCTCAAGATTCAGGTAATTAAGTGATAATGTAAAAAATTACACACCTACTTTCCCTCAAACGTCACTATCCTCAACAACTCCTTTTAAGAATTTTCAAACCGTCATGCCCTACCAAACAACTAATTTAAAACCACCCTTTCCTCCATAAAAAAACTCTTCCTGCAAAAATGCATTTGAACTTTGTGAAGAAGAACCCTATTTAATAAAGCCCTTTTCATCTCCAAAAGCCTTCTTCCCCTAGTTTTAAGAAAAAAAGGTAAATGACTTTACAGGCTAACCAAAGTTCCAAAGAATTATTTAAGATTATCAAAATTAAGAATTGAGGGAAGAATATAATTTGTCTGACGAGTTACTGGTAAACTTCAGCATAAAATAAAATAGCCGACTACAAATGCTCTGAAAATCTTCGGGAAGAAATATAAACATATAGCAAAAAAGTAGCCTCTACCTTCATCAAATAAATCCCTAAATAAACTAAAGAACTTAATAGTAAAACTCGTCAGCAAGGCTCATTTAATCCCTTCTCAACTTACCGAGGCGGCGAGGTAACCAGCTTTTCTGTGTCCTTCCACGCTCGTAGTCGACAACCACCCTACGACCATCAATTTTGATACCATCTGCCTTTTTATAAGCTTCTGAAAACAAATATAAAACTACCAGTTTTTAAACAGTAACCGCATGACTCATTTTGATGCGAGAAAGCCTCTTCGTTCGGGAGACACCGCTGTATTAAACCGATATGACGTTCTAAAGTAAAGCAGCGTTGCGCATCGCAAAACCGTGCTGTACTATGCAACTCGCCAACAGTTCCTCATAAGTGTCAAGGGAAGAATAAAAATAAATAACCCTCTATTTTAAAGGAATTACAAAAAAGTATCACTGAAATTCACGACTAGGAAAAATTTTAATTGCATGGGGCAAGAAATGTCCCTTTTTTGCTTAACAGCAAAAAACTCTAACAAATGAAGTGATTCAAAAAATTTGAACCTGCGCAGTAAGACGTTTGTTTCGTTGCAGTAACTGATGTTTATCGCTGTTTCATAGGATAAACTCACCCGACAAACTTACGCTTCAGAAAAAAAAAAAGTTATCGATAAATCAAGTGAATCCGCCGTTGTACCACCAAAATGACTGCTCAAAAAAAGTAAAAAATGCTACTAAACTGTAAGACGCAAGAAACAAATCAACAGTAATTGAAAATGACCCTTGCTAAAACTCATATGAGAAAAAATAGGCGAAACAAATTTTAAAAAATTGCCTGTAAAAGCACCAAGGTTTGGAACCGGAAAACAGTACAAAAGGTAATTAAAATAAATATCTAGTTTCAGTTCAACTAAATAAACTGTAAGCAGTCACTTTAAGTGGTGCAACTGTGATTTCATAAAACAGGTAGTAACTAGGAGTGAAGTTTTTGGCTTACCTTCCTTTCAAAACAAAACCACTTATGCTCCCTAACAATCTATAGAATCTTACCGCACGCAAACAAACCAAATTCAAAAAGGCAGCGTTGCATTTCCAATTTCATGCTTCAGAGAACTGTGCGGGACGCATAAAAGAAAAAACGTTATTTGAACATAATTTTAGAAGAAAGCAAAGTTAACAAGCGAACCCGCACAGAACTTCAAACAAACCAACATTAGAAGTGCATCAAGAGACAGGCACGGCCTTTTATAGCGAATGCTGCTCTTCTGCAATACAAAAAAGTAAGAGTCACTGGAAAAAATATTTTGTTTACAAATTAATCGTCAAACCTTCGATTACCCAAAATCTATAATAGCACATCTATGAAATAACAACTAATTGTTCTTACTTAAATGAACGAGTACATCGGGTACAATTAAAAGCCCTAGAGCTACTGTCCCTGTGCTGTGTGTTCGTTACATTACCAAATTGAAGTTTGCGACGCAGTAAAAAAAAAGGTTACTATGAAGAATCCAAAAAAAAGCACAGCCAAGTTCCACTCAGAAATTTCAAAAAGCAGAACGTAAAAAAGTTTGCAACAAAAGCTACTGTATTTCCTGAAACACAGTAGTGACTATGTCAGCATCTTAGCTTGTTTCACGATTCTCAGAATATCAACTTCACAAGAAATGCATTGCCACTCCTTCATCAGATTTCCCAAACCCACAATCATTTCTCAACTACCTACAAACACAAAAACGACCATAACGGTCTACTAACTAATTTGTAATTAAGCTCAACTAACACACGTGAAAAACCATCATCTGAAGAGAGTAGAACGAAATGAATTTCCACAACTACTTATTTAACTGGATGACAAAGAAGAGAAGAGTAGACGCCTGAGGACTACACCGATTCACGCAAGAAAAAAACCCCGAACTGTAAAACTCAAAATCTGTCCAAATACGCATCACAAAAAAGTCCTTTCGCGTAAAAGATGCTCAAAAAGCAAGCTTTCAAAAAAATAGCCTTTGAAACTTAAATCTTTTGCGCCGAACACTACATACAGAAGTCCTCCTTTGAATCCGGATTATCTGTTCTGATTGCAGTCTAAATGGCATAACCCGTAAAATTAAAATGCCACTTGAAACTACTGGTGAGAAAGTGATACGTGTTCCAAAGTACCACTAGCAGACCACAAGATGTTGTCAGAACCAAGACGAAAAATTAAAATATGAATAACTTTAAATGAGGAACTTACCCGACATATCTTCCTTACGCTGATATTCAATAAAAGCGTAACCACGTGGTTTTCCCGTCTTATCATGTACCAGTACCAACTAAATTTAAGACACGACAATGTTAAACAAAATTACGCATCGCAGAAAAAACCTTTAAAAACGCACCACCAAAAGTTCCGAAAAGTATAACCATCTCAAATTTAAATCCATAAAAAAAAGAAGATACCTTTTGTATTTTCCCAAACTGTTCAAATTCTCTCCGGAGCTTGGATTCAGATGTCTCGTAATTCTGCAAGAAAAAATGCATTCAGATGATTAAAAATGTACCAATACGTGGTGGAAGAAATTTAAAAGAAACGTGCAAGCTTCTTCTAAATACTTACGATCCGTGCGACAAATAAAGTCCTGTAAGGATCCATAGTGGCATTCGGATTGTCGGCAGGATTCCCTTTAAAAAATCGTTATAATAGCTGATAAAACAATAGGTCATGTTCTCAAAATATTAAAAAGAGAAGTCAAAAACTGATGAGAAAAAACAGAGATGTAAAAACGCGTAAAAAATAAAAGAGAATAATAAAGAAAAAATAACTTACAAGTCGCAATCCCTTGTTCAATTTTGTACGCAAGGAGCTCTTCTTTTTCCTTCCTCTAGAAAAAAAAAGCTAGTCAACAAGGAATTAAGTTTCATTCTGGCTCACCTGTAGCTCAACTTTAAAAAAGAAAAATGTGTAACCAAACAACAAAAACATTTACCCGCCTAGCACGTCTTTCCTCCTTAGTTTCAAAAACTGGTTTCGGAGGAGTATCCTTCGGATCCTAATAAATGTAAATTTATCAAAGGTATGAAATCTTCTTGCCAAATTACCAAAGAACCACACTTAGAACAAAACGGAAAACCAAACCTCAAACAAATGGACGTATGGCGCGATCCCTAACATTTTCGGCCTTTTACGATCAATTAATAGATCATCAGGAGGAGGCTTATATGGAAGTGGAGGCCTCGCCTCGAACAATGCTAACAGGTTGTCCGGTAAGAATTGCGTCATTTGTTACAAGCTTAAATCTAGAAATTGTTATCCAGCGTTTAGGACTCAGGGTACAAATGAAGCATTTGTCAACAGACCCTACCAGAAAATTGTAGACAAAGAAAGAAAAGTCAGACAGAAGCAGAAAAGCATCATCCAACATTTTTCCAATACTCACACAACTTCCAACATCAGTTTTGTGCAACTTTCTAATGATCTGCAAACCGTCCGAATAAAACATTAGGAAAAAAAACCATGCCTCCAGAAGCACTTGCCATAGCAAAGAAAGGAAGCACGCTTAACAGTGGAGCTGGTGATTAAGAAAATGAAGTGATAATAACTAGACCGACGTGTTCACTAAGCTCAAACGAAAAAGTAAACAATGAATATTTCCCAGCTCATCATTACTCAATTACCTCCCTATCCACCCAGATGGACAAAAATAGACAGAGATAAGCTGACAAACGCTAAAAAATAACTTGAATTTGATTTGCATTCTAACTGCCAGTAAATTCGTCTTCAGACCAACTCTTTTAAAAATTTGTAAATTGCAGCTTCAAACTTATTCGCCAATGCATACCTGAAGCGGTGTAGCGGAACGTCTTGGGCAGGCAAGGACGAAACTTGCTTCCCGAATCAGAAATTCAGAAGTGCTGTGAGCTGTGATGACAGTTTTAAAAATATGCCAATTTTTTTAGGCTTTTTTAGGGTGGCTTATACGCTTTGGAAATGCTAGGTGGCGTTTTTTGGCACTTATTATTCTTATCGTTTTTCTTTGCAAAAGAGAAGTGGTTTTTAGGACCAGGTTTGTTTTTTTTTATTGAGCGGCTTCACTGCTAGCAGGAATTCTATTTTTACTTTTGCATTGTTTGAACAGTTAGACTTTAAAAAAAAAAAAAGACGTTTTTTGAGCATTGGAAAACTTTTGAAAAGGTATCAGTTTTCTATGACAAAAAAAAAACTTTTTGAGCAATGGAAATTAGAACTACCCAGGCTCGAAAGAGGAGACGCAGGAAATTGTGACTAAAAATGATCAAAAACCTCTGGTTTTTACTTCTCCTTCTGCAGTCAGAACGATTATTCTGTAGTTATCCTTTCCTGGTACGCTTATCAAATGAAGGGTGTAAAGATACTGTTGAATCTGTACCGTTGTCCCAAAGTTTCACAAGTAGTTTAAAAAACTGAAGTTCAACTAGAAAAAGGGTTCTTTACTGCTTTCTAGTTTTCAATGAATTTTTGCTTTATCAGCATCCCCAGACTGTACTTATGAACTGTGCTGAAATTAAACACCTTTTTTGACGTCTTGATCTTACGATTTAAAATAAAACTTCATATCTTTTGTATGGGGTCAAAGAAACTTCAGGTAGTCAGAAATATGGCAAACATCAGTGGCCACTTCAGAATACCTGATTATATGCACCTGAGGTTCGGCTACGAACGCCCTTACGTAAATGCATATTGTTTTCTGGCACCCGATATCAAAACATAACGGTGAACGTAGTGAAACACAGCTTTAGTAATGAGTTACCTTTACCATATTTATCTAGTGAATGTTAACAATCTTTGAATGAGACATTATGACCGTCACTTTTAGCAGCTTATTTAAATGCGTCTCCTGAACTGTTTCGGTGAAATTCATCTTTTTTTTTTTT